CGCTTCCGCGTAACTTCACTTGTCTCCTCTGAAACCACTGGCAGGAATGTGCTCATTATCTGAGTCATTCGGGTTTCTATACGTCACGATCACGTTCCGCTAAATTTCAAGGCTGGATGTCGGATAACAACTCAAAAAAACAGACAAAAACCACCGAAAATCAGTATCTGTTTCGCCATGTTTTGCGAGTCGCTTACGTCACATAAATGAATCCCCTCCGCAGTGCTCAGATTTAACAAATATCGCATCAGGCCGTAAAAGAATTACTGTAGTCTATTTCGCTGTTTCATTACGTAACTGCGCATGCCTCACGCCAACTAAATATATCAGCAGCATTTTCCCGTACCTGGCTCTAATGCCAGAATACTGAATACTGAATACTAGTTGTGTACCCGTCCTTCGGACGGAAATCGTGTCAAAGTAAACACATTGTTGCTCTAGTTGTCATTGTTGGCGCTCAGGTGCGACTGAAATATAAACTTAAACATTTGTGCTGTAGTTAGTTGTCATCATCATCATCATCATCATTCTCGTTAGCAGAATCAATGTCATGAAAGAATTAAAACTAATAATACAAATATTTGTATTGAAATTTTATTACAAATCAAGTCTGTGTTTAATCAGTAATCATCGTTTAATTATGCGGGCAGGTATAAAAATATTTTTAATGTGTTTGTTTCTTAAAACATTTTAATACATAGTGTATTTCATCATCTATATCTTGTGTATTACAAAGTGTACATAGTTTATTTGATTTTTTTGGTAAATATTGGCTCTCTTATATAGAGGCAACTTATGGTTCCCACACCGTTGTATTCAATGTAATTAAATGTGTTTCGGATTTAAAGGTTGGTTTTAACAATCCAAATGTATATTGTTATTTCTGATGACAAAAAATTGTGTTGGCATATTATGCAGCCTTAAAAAATAGTGTTTATAATCCATTTCTTAATTAAATTACTTCGGTCATATTTTTAAACAGTTAAAAATACAGTAAAAAGAAAGTTTGGTTTCTTAATCATGAGAAACATGCTTCCAATAATTTAACATTTTTTACTATACCAATAATATTGGCATACCAGTATGTAAAGTAAATTTAATTTTTAAACTGTCCTATTTTAAATTATCATGAATGTCATCATTATGGTTAACCTTCATGATTAAGCATATAAACTATTTTCAATTTTCAAATGAATTATAGCCGGAGCTAGCTTTTATGATAAGCAGCCCTGCTGAAAGACACTGTCATCATTAAACGGCTTCTACAATGCATGCAAGAAATAGGCCTACCGTTGACGAACCACAGACCCGTTTCAATTATAATCGCGTGGGTATTTAATTTAAACCATGAATTAATAAGATAATAATATGTGTACTGAAAACCTATCATAGGCTAATCATTAAAATGTCGTCAGTCTGCATCACATCACATAAATGGTGTAGTTCAGTGGTTTCCAACCTGGGGCCCACAATAATAATTAGATGTTCGCCAAGTCAAAATGATCCGCATGGGGTCAGAAAAATGTGGGTGTCTGCTAGTTTTATAGACCAATTTTTCATGATTCCATTATTGTTCCTGTCTCACAACAGAGTGATAAACATCTTACTGCTAATCATGCCTTGTCAATAGATGAAATATGCTTACCTTTGACACAGGCATAGACTTCGTTCACTCTAAATTGTTTTAACTGGCATTATATTTTAATTTCAATATTTTATTAGTGAACTGTTAGAATATTTTATATATATTTTATGTATGTTTTATGTAAATATGTTTAGTATAGATAAAAGAGCCACTTGGTATTGGCAATCCACAGCAGGTAATGTCCATCTTGTTTATTGCTTTTACCAGGATATTGGATAAAAAATCAAGAGGAAGCCCTACATTTCCAAAGTTAAATATAAATTGGGGGAGAAAAGAACATAACATTCAATGTTATACTTTCATGGAAACTCATCTTCTATCTAGAATCTTATTGTTGGAATAATACGTAGACATGGGGGTTCGGGAAGGTTTTTTTTTCTCTTTCATAGGATTCACACCCACATTTATTTCAAGCAATATTTTATCTACAATACTTTTCCTTTCACCTTAAATTTTACAGTACAATGTGATAATAATAACAATAATGACATCAATAATTTGTTAAATATAAACATTACAACATTAAGGACCGAATTTTTAAATAGAATATTACGAATAATCCATATACTTGAAACTGGTATTAATATGAGTGTAGTCAGCTAAAAAGTAAACAAGTTTACATTTCTTCTGTTAATTATACAGGGCCTATTATATGTAGGCCCTGTCTCTTATACACATCTAGATGTGTATAAGAGACAGAGAGGAAACATTATAGACAATACTATATAGTAGAGTTAAACAAATGTAATGGAATGTGCTTTTTAAGTACATGCACATAAATTATATACTTATAATATTATAATATATAATTTCATATTTCGTTATCAAGATACAAAACAATGAACCATTTACTTCATATGCATGTTATTGACCCTTTTTATATTTTATTTTAAGATTTTCGAAGGAAACTTAGACCGTAATAGCAAACGGGTGCATTATTTTAACCCAGTAATACAAGCAGTTGCCGTCAAGGTGACTGTTAAAGCGTGGCATACTCACACTTCTATGCGTGTGGAGGTTCTAGGCTGTAGAATCGGTAAGCAATCGTGTCATTACTATATAGAGTATTACAGTGTTACGTCCACGTGATACTACTCCATTGCTATCGTTGCAAAAGGCGTTCAACCGGACGCCATTTTCTTCACTGACAAATCATTGATCCCAATATCTAACGTAATTATTAAGATGTTGTGTCTTACTTTTTCTTTGTAAATTCTAATTGATGATTAGACGTGTGTTCGATAACTAATATAATGCTAGCTTTTATGTTTTTAATACATTTTTATGGTAAAATATTAGATTTTAAAATGACTTCCAGAAAGCCTATGAAGTCATTCAGGCGTATTGAACGGTAACCAACGTCTGTTGAAAAGTGTTTAAAAGTGCCAACAAAATTGGTAAAAAATTGCGTTGAACTGTGTCCTTAAATCCCA